CAACTCCCTTCTTTGCCTGTGCGCGCCATTGTGATGACTTCACGGTACGCTATAGCCATCACCTGAGAGCCTAACAACTGCTGATTTCTCTATACACTTTGCAGGGTCATTTTATCGATCCTGGCCTCTGGTGAGTAACCGTACTACGATGGCATTCATCTACGCTTGCTAATGCGTATTTTTATTTTTTAGACTTTCTTCAGTTGCAGCGCGCTGTCTCGATGCGCGACTTGTGTTCGTAGCCGAGTACAAAGCCCTGCCACATACGGCGGTAAAGGTGTGTTTTCCTTCCTTATTCCTTCTCCCTTCGCCCTCTTCCCTTTCTTCTCTTCCCTCCCTCCATCTTCCACACCGACACCAACTTATACCCGCACAGACTCCGCTCCCCCAAAGCGCACACACGCGGCTGGATCTTCAAACCGGACGAACGAGGAGGGCGTGGATGGGCTGCATCTGTACAGCTGTATTATTTATGAACTGAATCTATATTTTATTTGCTTTCTTTCCGAAGCGTTGACCACTACATCGATCGAAGAGGAAAACAGTGTATTGAAAGGATGGCTGAGAACATCCCGAGGTTGTTGTACCATACATATGTAAAAGGTTGGCTCAAAGGTCTGTTGGACATCTGGCAATAGCTCTGTGAGACATCCGTCCGATAATCCGCAGGAGCTGAGTCTCAAAAAACGATCTGGTAATTCGCGACTAGGACATCAAACGGACATCACACGATGTCCGCTTGATGTACCGGCTGTGTCACCTGGTGATCAACCACAAAATCTCCTTCAAACGACGCGGCAGTTTGGTGGTGTAGATCCTCCTGGTAGGCGAAAGTGTCGTCCAGGCTTTCGCCATTGTCCTTCTCTGCCCTGCGGTTCCTCTTATTTTTCAGCGCGAGCGTCATATTAGCGGGAGGCGCGATGTCTGCCGGGCGTGCAGTGTACGCGTCGAAGTCCAAAGTGATCGTCAGTGGAAGGGGAGGGCCGCAGTGGGATGTCGTAGTCATCTCTGATGTCTTGAATGCTCGAAAATCGAAGTCTTACAGGAAAATACGCGATGAAAAGAGATATTGCAGTATGAGCTGGTGAGCGGAGGCAGAAGTCTTAGACAGGTGGCTGTGCGTTGGTAGATCTAATCTTATCTACAACGAACAGCGTGAAGGAAAAGGATCTAAAGTCTACGTCTACGCTCTTCCTTGTCATCCACTCAGGCCGACTCGCGCGCTCGTCTTGCCTGAACTCCCAACAATCTTTGGTCAAATTTGTTGTAATCACCATAACTTGTGCAATTCTCAACCAAATATGAAGATGAAACTGCACAGCACGTCACTTTCGACGTCTCATCCAAGCTAGACGCATGACCAAGTGAATGTAAGCGCGAGTGATGTGACCGAAGTGACAACCAATGATGCGTGCGCGACGCGACATGGTCTAACTGATATTTATAACACGTGTTTTTGGAAATATTGAGGAGATGGCCCGGATGAAACATCGAAGGCGATGCCCTGTGCAATTTCAGCTTCATATTTGGTTGAGAATTGCACAAGTTATGGTGTTTACAACAAATTTGGCCAAAAGATCCCTTCGGGCGCGATAGCAACTCCATGGGGTAATGATATGTAATTCTGGCTCTACTAGATTCCTCCTAATGCATGTACGTCTCTCCTCCCAAAAATTCAGCTTGTTTGGATAATATCTCGGCCCGGTAGAACGTGTCGAACTCAAAGCAGGCCTCCTCTGTAAGATGGACCAAAGAAGTATATTTTCGTGGTTTTCTTTCTATCACTAATTGCGGAGGAATTATTTTGGAATATTGGTATAGGTTTCGAGGGCATCTGAGCAGAACTGAGTGAGATATGAGGGAATCGGTCGTGGAATTTAAAAAGTGTCCAAATGAGGAAATTTTCATTCGCGCCTTCGGTTCCGACATCAGCTGTAAGAACATGCGAGTGCCGCTACTCATAGGAGAAGATTTTCAGGTCTCCAACGAGCTTGGCGTTACCCGGTACTCCAACGGGCATTGCGACGTGAAAGTCGGGAAATCGGACCACATTCTACCTGGATCCTCAGCGCAACGCGTGGACTTAGGATTCGATTTGAGGAAGGTTCACGCAGTGAAAGCCAAGAGCTTCTTACGGAGAACGGCGGCCAGGGGGGAAAGAACTCGTGCGCAGAGAAGCGGAGATGCAAAAGGGTCGCCCGAAGATCGCGCGGCGGAAGACGCCTTACTACCTGCTGGGTCTGTTTGCAACGTCCTCGTTACGGGGTCCTTTGAGGGAAGAACGGATTGGCTTGTGGAAAAGCTGATAATTTTCACCGACGATGCATCTGTCGTCGCAGCGCCAACTTGGATCAATACGGACTCACCGTACATGCCCATAGCCAATCCTAGTACCCATCCGTTGTACGTGCGGAAAGGAGAGGTAGTGGGATATCTGTTGGATCTTCCACGTATGCGGACGTGCCGAAGAGTGAAGAGGAAATTCTACGCTACGTCGCGTCCGCAGACGCCATCTGCTCCACCATCGGTACACTCCGAGAGCAGAATCTGGCCACCGCTGAGTTCAAAGAGAAGCCACCTTATGCCGACGACCAGCTCGAGGGTAGCGGCAGGCTGCCAGCAGCAACAAATAATGTTTGGCCTAGTAGTACGGACAGTGGGGGTACAGATAAAGGAGCGTGATATGGGGACGCGTAAGCTATGTACATATGGACCCACATCAAAGTCCGTGAGCTCGGTAAGCTTGCACACGTGATCCCGAATTCCTACACTCTCCCTCAAAAATCCCTTTGGCCTCCCCCACTATGGCACCACGTGGTCTTTTTCCCAGCATGTGCATGTTGACGCGCCTACTATAGTAGAGTCATAGTAACTTCTTCTGCACTGACTTTATGTGTGTGTTATAATTTATTTTGTGTCATTCAATGCATGTACCCTAGTCCTCCCTTTCACCCATAAGATACCTCCCTGACACTAACCCCCCAAACCCTAACCACCTAACCTGAACGCTAACGTCTACTTAATGCTAACTTCTAACCTGAACCCTAACCAGGCGAGGCGAAGCGACACTGCTCGTTCCCGGAGTTAGGGCAAGCGCAGCGCACCCTAACTCCTCGAAAGCGGGACGCAGTTGTCGCCAAGACAAAAATAATAAATGAATGAAAAAATAACCATTGATGAGGATCGAACCAACGCCGACATTCAAACAGCATTAGGTAAGGCCTACATGATAATCACTAGACCAAGTAACCATAGCGAATTAGGTGTAAAGCATCACAGTCGATGGCAAAAGACATCCTGTATAACTAATTGGAATGTACAGCAATCATTTATGTGTGAGGATGGGGAGTATTTACACCAGGATTGGTGGTTTGTCAGTGGCTCACAGCTGCTAAGGCACAAGTGGATATGTGGTCTTCACAGAGCCTCAGAGTAGCAAATTTAGCTAAGTAATCCTTGTTAAGCAAAGGAAAAGATTCCAGAAGGCATGGTAGACGCATCGCGAGTCGGGTGGCAATGGTCGTGAGGTGTGATTGGCTGCATCAGCATCCCGATATGGAAGGTGGCCTGTGGGCACGTGCTGTTGATAGTGGGACCGATAACAAGATCGGACGCCTCTTGGTCGATGGTGCGCTACCAGGCCACAAAACGTAAGCATCTTACCTGATTAGGAAATGTCAAAGTGGAGGAGGCGAGGGTGAGTCCTCCCTCAAGCTGAGAGAGCTCACCAATAAATAAAACCAAAAATACCACCAAATAACCCAGCATCACATCTCAACAGCAAAATCCAACAAATGGCGTAAACATACGCAACAACGCTCGAGGCCCGCCACTCTTGTCGATGCTCGCACTGCTTTTAGCTGCTTTGAGCATGAACCCGATGAGACGATGGACGTCTATATCGGCAGTGTTCTGGAGGCACCCCAAGTGCTTATCAAGGACGAGTCCAACCTGGAGACAGTAAAGGCTCTTCTCCTTACAACATCCTCCCAGGACAATCAGCCTACCCCATCGCTTTTTGCTCCCGCTGCACTAAAATTCGACACGAGAGACAATGACCATGGAAGTGCTCCATCCGGTGGGAGTTTGGATTGGAAGGTTTTTCCATTGATGTTCCGCGCCAGCGCACGATCGTATCGGTCACGTTGCGGACAAATATGGCTACGACATGCCTCAGCATATCGGGGATTTGGCTATAGCTGGACCACCGAAAGCTGGTCAAACCAATATGGCCCGCGTAACCGCCAACATTTTTTTTTTTTGAAAGTGCCAATGCCGCTACCGTCTTCGACGATAGATCTGATGAGAATCGGATTTTTCGCGCGAAAAGAAAATATATCTGGATCCCGTTGACCGTGACAGCTGTACCATCACGTGTCCCGTGCCGTATCATCACTATATGTTGCTGCATCCCACTGGACCTTACTCTTCCAGGTATCATCACCACTGCTGGACTCTACTTTTCATTATGGTACTGTCATTCCCACCAGACCCTTGGTATTGTCACCCATCAGTCATCCTCTGTTCACTCCTTGACATGACCTCCTCCACTCTGACTTCATTCCATCCATGTTGTCAGGCACGTATTCGGAAGAGGAAGCAACACGTTCATTGACCCAGTGAAGAGCTCTGCATTCCTGGCAAATCATATTCATGAGCCTGAATTCACAATGTGCAGCCCATCAGCAGCCCACCGGGCACAGGGGCTGTGTGCTGACAACAATCTGGATGTACTGTGAGCAGAATTGGCTGTATGGTCAGAGCAATATATACTGGAGGTTCCAGTACCTCTTTGATTGCAAGTGACTCTGCATTGCTGGAGGCATTAAAAGTCCATTCAGAGGGCCTGGGACTCAATTAAGTTTGATTGGAGCAAATGAGCTGCACCAGGTGTACCTGTGAAGACTGCTGTGAGAACAGATTGGAGCTCTGAGACTACCTGGAGGGTGAACACAGTGCTGTCTGTTGGAGGTCCTAATGGGAGTTCCCTTCACACTATCAGCAGAATAGCTCAGTTGGTTAGAGCACTGGTGGCGCAAAAAATCACCTAAGAGGTCCTTGGTTTGATTCCAGGTTCAGCTATTCTTTTGCATTTAACAAGTGCAGGAGGAATATCCTTGACAAAATGCATCATTTTTTCATTTCTAACATGGGGATCCAACACATTTATGTGCTGCATGGACTCAGAGGTGCCGGAAAGACACAGATTGCTCTGAAATTCATAAACGAGTCATCATCTCAGTGAGCTTGATCATCCAACCAGGAAATGTTTGTTGATCCAGTTTTATGATTCCCATCCCCTCTTGAATCAAGTGATGTTGCTACCATGAGTGATCGTCTCAAGGGCTCAACAGAAGGAACTCCTTTGAAGTAGAGTGAATGGTAGTCAGTATTTTATTTGCTGGATTTACAGTCTCATTGTGTAGTTCTCAAATCTCAGCTTAAAACCAGTTAACTGTTCTGCTCGAAGTGGCTGGTAAGAGGTTTTATTCCTGCCTCAGTCACCTGTGTACACCTCCCTGGTGGTTGTCAGTTGTTGGCATATACTTTGCACTTTACTGCAGAAACATATCAGAGATTCATGTTATCATAACCTGTTCTCTGCATCTCATCAGTTCAGTGCTCAAATAGACGGCTCTCTTTCTCAATTGCAAATTGTACTGTGTATCGCTAAGAAAGATGCCTCGACTGTCAAAGTAACTGCAAAAATTTCAGCCAAATTGGACAACTCCACGGGTGATTTAACATACATTGATTGATGTGGTGAGGAGGCTTTACAAAGTAACAAGAATGTGTTCACCCCTGGGCATACGCTGGAGCAAAGTGAAGGCACAACTTGTTTCTGGAACAGGTGGCAGCAAAGGAAGGGGATTGTAGACACAACTGAAGCTTCGGCAATAAGCTGTACGAGTCAGAGGTGTGCAGTGGTGACCAAAGGTCCGGCGGTGAGGTCCAATGACTAGGGAGTCATGGAAGGCGTCTATGGTGACCTTGGTACACTGGTCCCCTGACACCATTCTATTTGCAGGGGATGGCAAAGCCAAATAATGACTGGGCCGGAGTGACGGGGCCCATAGAGTTTCATGGTATCTGCTACATGTTTTGTACCAAATCCTCATGGGTACCTGCAGATACAAGTCTCATCGGAAGCAACAACTATACGAGGATCAATATCAATGCACGGGCTTGTCATGGTGCATGCTTTGAATGACACAACACTGAGATTCTTTTTAAATTGTCATGGGAGCCGAGGTGCCACCTTGCCAGAATACTATCATACCGCTTACAGCTATTCACGCATGGGAGATGAAATAGGTTGGAAAACCAAATTGGATGTCAAATCGTGCTCCGGACCAGGAAAGTAGGATTTGATTTGACCGCATCGCTCATTAGACAGGTTGTGCAAAGCCGCATGATAAACCGAGGGTTTTATGAGTGTATCTATATTCATTTTGATGAAATACTAGTAAATTAGGTGCTATACCGTATATTGAACCACTTACCAACCATGATGTGCATCATTTTGACGTCATTATTTGGCTTCTCCACAGCTACTGTGCGGCTATGGCCGTAATGCTGCCAAAAAAGGCCATTTCCCACACTTGCTCCACCCACCTGATGCCGGATCAATACCAACAGCTTCCAAAGCACTCTACGGCATCTACGCAAGGATCAAATACATCATTAATAGGGAAACAAAAGCCGCATGGTGCCCATGCGGCTTTCGCACAACCTATTATCAGTCTCTGAGCTTGGATGCATTATAACTGGCTCACACTCCAGTCACAAAATAGCGGGGTTTGATCTGAAACTGATAGTCTGACCGTTTCTTTACATTTCAATTGCTACTAGGGTTCCAATGCGATCGTCAGTTTTTCTAAGTGGGTTTTTAATCTTGGTGATATTGTAAATGCACCAAAACCAAAAAATAGCGACCTTACGGGTATTTTACGGTTATTACGACCGTATACGGTCGTAAAAAGTCCCACGCCCATTCCCGCCTCGGCAAGGTCCTCGCTTGATCTTCACTGTGCCTCTGCGGGTGGTACGGGTGGGTTTTAAGTCATGAACATCGGTACTGATGATAGAGGTGCTACAATATTACTGAACACTATGATGTGAGTGCATACAGTGCTGTTACAGGGGGAGCAGTCATGGTCACTTGCCTCGCCTCGGGAAACAGAGACAGACCCTGGACACGGAGCCCAGTGACTGCCCCCCCTCGCTTTCCACGGGCGCCGCTGCCTTCTTGGTCTGCGCACGGAACCGCCGTAACATCAGTGGGGGAAGTGCTTCGATGCATTCGAGCTGCTCGTCCGCGGGGAGATGATGACGCCCGATGAAGGTAACTAAGCCCCACCCTGCTTTCCCTCTGGCGTATCTTTACCGTCCTGCAGAGTGGCAATTTTCCAATCTCTTGCATACTCGTCGCAGACGCCGGAAGACGCTTGCTATGTGCGGCTTGTATATGACAACCCGGATGTGCTTTTCAGTCTTGCCGATGTGCTTTATGCCAGTCTTTGCTGGGCGGACTGCTTCGCTGTTACGACCGATATTGGAGACTTGAGCCCTTGAATTGAGTTTCGTTGGGTATCAAACCTCTTCGGCGCGCTGAACTTTGCCAGACTACTGACTACAGATATTTACTGACCAGAGATACTGACTTTTTTATCTCCACAGCAAGCGATTCGGTTTATCTTTTCGTTCGATTTGATTCCCTAGGTATCGAAGCCCTTTACACTTTATTTCTGTCGTGACCTTCTCGTTTCCAACGGGCTGAAGCCTGACATGCGAGTTCACCAACTCGTCACCCGCTATTCGGACATGGCACAATCCCGATCCACCCTTTCGTTCCATCCATGTCATGGGTTATCGAAACGCCCTCATTCCTGATCATCAATGTATCGGCTGTGTGATGATCGATGTCGGATACATAGTTCCCAGCTATGTCTCATCATTTCTCTAACCAAATATTTCAGGCATGCCTTTCAAGATTCGCTGTGTTGCATTTAGGACATCTACATATGCCGCGTGAGGGCAAAAATTACTGGCACCACACTCGACCGATGTCTTGTTCCACCTAAACTTCGCGAGCCGCATCTTTCGCTCTGCGCCCTCCACACTTGTTGGTCAATTTTCTGAACCACGAGAAGTACCAACCTCCGGACCTCACCTAACCCGACCGGCCAGCATACCTTAGACAGACAGTCATTCTGCGCTTTACAGGAGGGCTCTGCTCGAATACATTAAACCTGCTCTCAAGCCCCAATTCCCGAGCCGTTTTCTGAGGTGCGCGTTGGTAATGAATAGCCCTCGATACCCTGTGAAGATAGGAGCGAGGGGCGTAGAGCACAGAGGATGCTCCTGGGAGTTTCCGGAGCTCCATTTTTGTTGGGAAAGTGAGCAATGGTCAGCGATGCCAAATGTGGACCAATCCGTTTTGGGAAGCCGATCGAGAAAAAAAAAACTGGGGAGTCTCATTATTTTTAGGAACAGCTGTAAGCCCTTTCCGGCAATCGGACCGGTGTATCATATTTTGCCCAGGTCCAATAATCACCAGAAAAGCTTGGCAAAAACTCAGGAAAAAGTGGAGTCTGGTCAAACCTCCTCATGAAACATTCAGAGTACATCTGTGTGGTCAAAATAAACACCGAGAATATTGAAAAAGTACACCTTTGCACATTGACTCCATCGAAGCAAGGCCACCAAGAGGATTTTTGGTCTAGAAATATCACAGAAGCTAGATTTTATCCAAGAGGAGTGGCCTACGAAGTTTCACGGAAATCCGTTGGGAGATAGGCGAGAGAGGACAAGAACATTACCAAATCCGGCCATTACCTACTACTCGGACACGTGGCCTTGTCCGATCAATTCCCATCGGTTTTTCTCGAGATAAAGACTTAGACCTGGGTAAAAGACAAAATCCCGACGATCTAGGTACTCAGCCTGGTACCAACCCAAGCGGATCAAAAGATATTGAAGGTTTTTCCTTGAATGTCCGGGTTCTAGGGGAACGATAGTAATATTAGAACCGCTGGAGGCAAGTTTCCTGGCAAGTACTCATATAAAGTACCCCATTGAGTAGTGCTGTTGCGGGTACTGGTGTGAAGTACCCCGAAAAGCACTCCAAAACAATGCCCTCATATGAAGTACCTATTTTCCGCTTTGAGTACCTAGGTACTCACATGAAGTACCTTTACTTTCCGCAGTGTTATGCAGCAGGCTACGCAGCTTTTGAAGGTGAGCCAACCATCCTGTGTATCAACTATTGCATGAAAATGTAGCAATACGTACTCAAGGTAGCTGCAGCAGGGATAGTGGAGTCAGCATACCATTAGAACTCCAATTGCCATTGCTGAAAAGCGTGGTTTGGGACCAGGTGCAAAGAAATTAAAGTGTGAGTAAATTCAGAGCAAGTGATGAAGACAAAGGGATGCGCAAAAATGCATATAGTAAGTAATTGGTTTAATTCTGTGACTGGGATCTGGAGATGGGTACTGGAAATCTCCAGTGCAGCATCAGTTAAGCAAAGAACAAAACAATATGTAAAGGCATGCACATCCCTTCACTCAGCTTCTGTCATCTTTTACTTTGAGTGACATGTTCCACAGTTAGAAGTGTTCAGAGGCAGTAAAAGTCGAGTTTTAAATTCAGAGAGACGCGAGAAAGAAGCAGAACAGTGGACGCAATGGAAAGGGGACGCGAAGTTGACGCAAAGATTGACAGCAATTGACAGGATCCAAATTGGGTCATATGTAACATGCCGTGGGTTTGAAACTCCATCAGTATCTTGCCGGTGGTGATGTTTTGTTTTTCATACTCCGTAGCTTCATTCGATACTGGTTCTGAAAACAGAATAAATTACCTTCAATGAGGAAGACTTCCATAAAAAATTATCAGGGCAAGAGGATTCCAAATGAAACTTTTCAAAATTGAGGTGCAGTTCTGATGGATTGATGGGAGGCCGGTCCGCTGATCTCGACGAAATCTTCCTGAACCTTTAGGTTTGGCTACCCAGGAGAACAGGCTGTGGTGTCATATGTGGAACCGAAGTCAGACCCGATTAGGAAATCCAGACCGCA